GTGTGTGTGTGTGTGTGTGTGTGTGTGTGTGTGTGTGTGGTGTGTGTGTCTGCCCTCTGCCATGCCTACCCCCACTCCCCCCAAGTACTGAGGTTCCGGGCATACCTGACTTTGAGTGTGCACACTGGGGATCCAGATTCACATCCTTGGGCGTCTACAGCAAGCACCTTCCCCACTGGGCCATCTTCCCGGGGCCGTCTAGCCTAGAACTCTGAACCTAGCATGTCCTCCTTAAAGCTGAGTAAGGAGATGTGTCTTTGCCCTCGCCCCTGCCCCTTCTCTTTCTCGAATTTTAGAAAGTGATATTGGAGCCCCCACCTACCTGGCCTTCCCCAGCATCCTGCAGCCAGTGAGGGCTTGTGTGCCTAGACAAAATGCTCATCTGTGCATTTTTCTACGTGTTCTCCTCATTCACATATCCACTCAGTGACTACCAGCTCCCACACAGTGCTGTTTAGATCAATCATCAGACAGAGGCACTGTGTCTCCTGAGGGAGCCTCAGCTGCCCAAACCACCTCTGGAGGACTCACCAGAGACTGCTGTTGCACGAAGCCTCCCGCTGCCCTGATGACTGGATGCCCACCCCCAGCACTCATCAGCCCCTGACTCCAGTGTGAGACCCCCTAGCACGGCGGGAGGGATTCTGGAGGAGGCTTCAAGGCCTGATCAGAGTGAGGACAGCAGCTGACTGCAGTGGAGAAGGAGGAAGGGACGACAAGGCACGTCCAGCGATTGAAGATGAGGCCCATCGTGGTCAATGACCCTGAAACAACTACTGACTCCAGCTCCGTTCTCTCTTTCCTTCATCCACACAGTTGCAATATTTTTAATGGAAAAATAAATGCTTGCACATGATAAAACATTCATAAGGTGTAATGAGATACACACAGACTTCTATCTGTGTCAGTCTGCCTCCCACCCCAGATTGCCAGGGCCCGAGTGTATGTGTGTGTGTGTGTGTGTGTGTGTGTGTGTGTGTGTGTGTGAGAGAGAGAGAGAGAGAGAGAGAGAGAGAGAGAGAGAGATCCTATACCTACTCTTGACTCTGTTATTTTCAGAACTAGTTCATTTATGGAAGTCAGCCTCCCAGTTGCAAGGAGGGCAGAGAAAGGGAGAGATGGTGTGCACAGAGACAAATGAGGAACACTCAGCTCACCAAGGCCAGCAGGGAGCTAAATCTTGGGCCCTCTTACTAACTAATCTCTGGCCCTTCTTACTAACAGAACGCACGCTGAGACTCCTCCTCACCACAGGTGGCACTGAGATCTGGGCCAGCCAGTGACAGCAGGCGAGCTGACTTCCATAATGGCAGGGCTGATCACGACTCCATGGCTCCCTAGAGACAGAGAAGGCCCACCAGCTGCCACCCCACGCCTGCCCCCAAACTCATTGTCCCCAGAACAGAAGAAGATGTTGGCTGGGTGATCACTACTCAGGGCCGTCTGTGCTGTTTGTGAGGGATGCTGATGCAAAGTCTGGTGAGATGGCATCAATTTCATCCCATCTCTAACAGAATGAGAGGATCTGGGAGCAGCCTGGAAGGATGCTGGGCTATGCTGTCACTGAAACGCCTCCCTGGGTGCTGGACACACTCCCTCTATTCATTTTAGTTCTTAAATGTCTCTCTTCCCTTCCCCGCAAATATTGTTCCCTTGTGAGTCTTTCTCCAAACTTTTATTTCAATTGATACTTCCTGTCTTAGGTCCAAAAATCCCAGAAGAGGTAAACAACAACGATATAACAAATAAAAATAAATAAATGATAATAATCATAGCAATCATTCATCCTCATTATTTCTCATTGCTGTTATACAAGAAATATTGTTATCCTTTTGTGGAAAATGAAACTAAAGCTGGGTACCTCACGTGACAATGCCAAGAGGAAACAGCTGATAAGCAGCAGGTCCATGGCTCGCACCCAGGGCTGTCTGTCCTCAACCCATCTCAGGAGCCCAAGAAGCAGAACTAGAGCACAGAGTGGCCACGGTCCTCTCCGCCATCTCACATCTCAGGCCACATCTCCCGAGGTCAGATTTGGGGCTGAGCTGCCACTCTTCTGGGCAGACTGGAGCAGGTGTGCCAACAGCGATTGCCAATATTGTGGCATGAGGCACAGACCTGCCCTGTCCCAGGAGTAGAAGAAGAGGGGAAAGTTGAAATTACAGAAGGAAGATCGGTTTGGGGTCAGACTGGCTGGAGAAAAGTATCTTTCAAGCAGTGTTGCCTTGGGCCACTTAGTAAACCTTTCTGAACTCAGCCTGTGTATCTAAGGATAGGAACAGTAATGTCCCCTCCCGTTATGATTGGGTGAGATCATGTGTATGAAGCCTTTAGCCTGGCAGATGTTAGCTTGCCTCCCTTCTCCGGTTCAAGATGGAGCAGGTCTCTGGCCTTGTGTTGGGTACTGGACGACTCTCCACATCTTCTAGTGAAGAAGGCAAAACCACAGGGCTTTCCAAAGAGAGGTTAAAGTGGTGCTCTGGGTCATACATTAGGGGCAAGAGCTCTTCATTTTTTAAACATTTCTTTATTTTTATCTTTATGTATATGTGTGAGTGAGCACCAGCATGTATGTATGTGCGAAGTGTCTGGTACCCACAGAGGCCAGAAAAAAAAGCAATGGATCCTCTGGAACTGGAGTTACAGGTAGTTGAGAGCTGCCATGTGGGTGCTGGAAGATGAACCTGAGTCCTTTGCAAAAGCAGCCATGCTCCTAACCACCACGTCATCTCCCCAGCTCAGGGGATAAGGACCCTTTTGAGTTCCCAGTCTCCTACCCAGCTCTCTTTCCATCCTATCCAGTGCTGGGATTCCCTGGTTGCTGTTTTCTAGCCCATCACCACCCGCCTCTCACCCCACAGTTTCAGAAGAAGCCTTTTCCTTTTATTACATTCAGCCAGCTCTTCTTGCCTCCACACCAGCAGGCCCTTTCCTAGGTGTGCCATCCTCCCAGAAGCCTCTGCGCTCCTGTTCTGTGGCCCTCCTTAGCCTCCCAGGCTACACATCCCTCTGGGTTACAACTGACCATTTGCACGGAAGAGAGCATCTGTCTAGCTAGACTGCTGGCTCCTTCAAGGGCAGACACCGTGTCTCACTCATCTTCACAGCCTCCGTTCAGATCAGAATGCAATCATTGGGAGATTTGCTTTTGAAGCCAACAACTACAAGAGGTGCGAAGATGAATTAGCTTTCTTCCTTCAGAGCACTGGGTGCCTGAAACCACGTGTTCCTATCCACACCCCCACCTCAGGTCATGTGAACTCATGCTCAGCGCTGCACACTGAGGATGAACGCTCGGATAATTGTGTTACCTTCTCCCCATCTCTCACCCACAGGGGACCCCAACATCTGCTCCATTTCCAACCCTGACTTTGTCATCTACTCGTCAGTGGTGTCCTTCTACGTTCCCTTCGGGGTGACTGTCCTGGTCTACGCCAGGATCTACATGGTGCTGAGACAAAGGAGACGAAAACGGATCCTCACTCGCCAGAACAGCCAGTGTATCAGCATCCGACCTGGATTCCCGCAGCAGGTAAGTGCCTGGCAGGAAATAGAGGAAGACACAGCAGCCCCCAGTCTCCAGTTATGTAGCCATCGGTGCAGGTGGTGCCAGTACTGGCACTCAGGAGGCAGATTTCCCATCACCTTCTACTCAGCTGATGTTATCTGTGCTGAGTTTACTGGGTCTCCCTAGATCTCACCTTACTTGATAAGCTGATAGCATACTTTCCACTTCTCTTCAGAGCCTTCCACCACCAGCAGCTCAGACACCCCACAAGGTTTGATTTTATTGAAATGGGATGGGAGCAGGGTAGTATTCCACTGTACTGTACCATGCACTGCTTTCCCAGTGCTTTTTTTTTTTTTTTGACTCCTCAAACCACTCATTCCAAGAATCATCCACTGACGCATGTCTTCTTGATCTGTCCCTGTGTCGAGGCACTGACCAGCTGGTGGGTCTTCCTAGGCTCTACAAAGGATGTCTGGAGCCTCCGCCCTGATCTTTTAGTTCCTTTTGCTCACATTACTGCCTGGCATATGGTGGCTTCCCTGCCATGAACACCAATCACTTCCAACCAACTAGCGCAAGGACCATTAAATCAAACAGCCACTGTCATCATGGAGCTTGGAAGCTGGACATGAAAATAAACCTCACCTCCACTCAAAAAGCAATGAAAACCTTGAAACTTCCCAGGATGTTTGCCAAACGTGAAGTGAAAGAATGAGGTACCCAAATATAAAATGCAACAGAGGTTAAGAGGATGACCAATGTTCAGAACAAGGCTTCCTGGGGAGAGAAAGAACTGAGTTTAGTCTTAAAGACAGAACCAGTTTGGGGGTCTAGACCAATCTCTGATGACCTGTGATCAGACTCTCAAAGTCAAAGTGCTAGGACTTCCATAAAAAAAAAAGTATTGGTCCCCATGAAATGGGATACTGTGACCTAAGGCTTAAGATATGAACATAGTGCCTTCCAAGTACTGTCATGCTACATAATTACATATGACATGGTTCAGTTTTGTAGAGATTATCCCACAACTGATTGTTTCTCCTTCAAATACCCCAGCCTTCCTGTCTGCGGCTGCATCCCATTCGGCAGTTTTCAATAAGGGCCAGGTTTCTGTCAGATGCCACAGGACAAATGGTAAGTAGGCCATGTCTTGGATCAAGGGGAAAGAGTGAGAGGTCTTTTTCCCAAGATGTTGTTTTGTCTTGATTTCATTCCTACGGCAACATGGAATTCCTCACTGATCCCACACATGTATTTGTAATATAAGCCAAGATCCCAGAGTCTGCGTGATTGAAGTCTCGGAATGGGTTTCATCCAATGACATTCGGAAATTATGGGACTAGTGGGATAGATCTCAATGACTGCAGTCAATGACTTTCAGATGTGGCGTGAGGATGCCTTCTAGAGCTACCTGCAGTAGGAGAAATAGGATATCAATGAAATGGACACATAAGGAGAGCCAGAGAAAGAACAGTTTCAAGTGTCCTGTTTGTTACTGTGTACAAAACGATGTCATGACAATTTCATGGTCCCCCTAAGCCTTGCCTTCCCAATTCAAGCCAGCCCTTGGCATGCCTTGCTGGCATAGTGCAAGAAAGAGCCTAAAGATGTCACATACAAGACCAGGGTTCCTCTTCTTGAACTCACATTAGAAATTAAACTTCAAAAATAAATAGTGAGGAAGAGTTGAGTCTTGTTCAGTCTCTCTATAATTCACTAACAACCCTATCCACAGGCCTGATGTCACAGTTAGAGACTCTGGCTGTGAATGAGAACAGACAGCTAAGCCATGCAAAACCAACATGACAGATCTGTGGTCTGAGGAGATGCCAAGGCTGAAGGAGAAGTGTTGGACTTCACAGGAAGGATTGGAGAGCCACAGGGCCGCATTGCCAGGAGGGTGGAGAGTTAGGATCTGTCCTACCATCTGGGAATTGGAGTCTCTCTGCCAGCCAGCCAGCTATGGAGGAATTGGTGTTGCCCATGTCAGCTATGGAGATAGGGCTAAGGATTTACAGAGCAAACTGAGAAACACCATCACCAGCTTGGAGTCTTGGAAGAGTCACTTTCTTCCTGTAGGAGAGACTATTCACATTGGTGACATGGAAGCTGGATGTTCTTCAGTTCTGTAGACACTCCCAAGAACTAATCCCCAACCCCAACTAAACTCCAACAAGTAACCTTCAGAAGTAACCCACTAGAAGTTAAATGTTGTGATTTTCAGATCATAGGTGCCAGCTTAATCATAAATATTATTGTCTTGATTATAGATTGGCTTAACATAATATAGTTATACTAATTAGGAAGTTAATTAGGAAGTCACATCAAAACAAAAACCAACAGTTCTGAAATCTCCAACCCTAAGATTCATATGTGAATCTCCCCTTGTCTGGGTGTGGCTCAGGTGCCAAAGCTGCTGGTTTACCTGGAGAGACGGGACAGAGGAAGGGTAAAGAAGGAAGAGCTGGCCTTTATGACTTTGGTGTAGAAACTGCAGAATCCTACTTCCTACTCAAGATTGACACCAGTGTCTAATCTTTTGAATGTAGAAAGTTCAAATGTCAAACATATATATTGATCCCCTTCCCCAAACAAAAATACCAGATAAAAAAATCACATTCTATCTTTCCTAGTTATTTTTCTGTCTTACAATCAAAGTTTAGAGACAGTTAGAACTTCCTGAAGGGTAGCACCTACTAAGTAGAAAAGTTATGATGCAAATCTTAGTTTTTTTTTATTTCCCCCCTCTTTTAAATATTGATATTTAAATTTTCAAAAATAAAAGTGTGGTACATACCTATAACCCAGGTATCTGAGAGGTGGAGGCAAGAGAATTATAAACTTCGTGGCAAATTTAAGGCCAGCCTGGGCTATATGACACCCAATCTCAAAACACAGTGAAATTAAATATAAATTTTTTTAAATGAAAAGACAAAACAAATCCAGAGTCACCATCAGCTAGCTTCAGCAGTTATCAGTTTGTGACCAATCTTATTTCATCTATGCTCCAACCTACAAATACACACACACACACACACACACACACACACACACACACACACACACACGAGTCAAATCCCTGGGCTGGAGAGATGGCTCAGCAGTTAAGAGCATCGGTTGCTGTTCCAGAGGACCCTGGTTCACTTCCCACATGGCAGCTCACAACTGTCTGTAACTCCAGTTCCAAGGGATCCGACATTCTCATAGTATGTACTGGCAAAAGCATTTCTCATGTCGAGTTTCCCACATTCCAGATTTTGCCGACTGCATCCCAGTGATGGCATTTAATATGTTAATTGCTATAGCCAGGTCTTTCCAACTCAGAAAGGCCAGACTATAATGCCAGGGTGCCTTCCTCATGGTTTGCTGTGAAGATGGAATGTTCTGTAGGGTAGCTGCTTTTCAGTTGCAAAGTCAGAAGCGGGTTTCATTTCTGTAACTTCCCATGGTCCCACCACGCCCCCTGTAGGTCGTACTCAAGGAGGGTTTCCTCCTTTTTCTTTTCATTATCTTTCCCATTCAGGAGCACATAGAAGACAAACAATATCCCCAGAAGTGCCAGGACCCTCTCTTGTCACACCTGCAGCCCCTCGCTCCTGGGCAGACTCACGGGGATCTGAAGCGTTACTATAGCATCTGCCAAGACGCGGCCCTGAGGGACCCAGGCTTCCAAGAAGGAGGAGGAGGGATGCGTGGGGCAGAGAGGACTCGGAACTCCTTGAGCCCCACCCTGGCGCCCAAGCTCAGCTTAGAGGTTCGAAAACTCAGCAATGGCAGGTTATCCACATCCCTGAAGCTGGGGCCCCTGCAGCCCAGGGGAGTGCCACTTCGAGAGAAGAAGGCCACCCAGATGGTGGTCATTGTGCTTGGTAAGTCTGGTCATCTGCTAATTTGGCTTGGGTTAGATGGTTAGTTGAAGCTGGTGCTGGATGCCATGGTGGGGGGCTATCATAGCCGCACTTAAAGAAGATTGGAAATTCAATTACAAAATCTCTAAAACACAACTAAAAAGGTTTCTAGATGAATATTAGCTCTTAGGAAAACTCGAAAGACCTAAATGAAATTCATAAAGCCACTTAATTTAGGTGATCATATAGAGTGATAATGTATAAATCAAATGATAATGAATCAATGAAAGTATCTGGCACACATTGGGTGTTTAATAAATATTTACCTATTTTAAAATATAAGTGAGAAAATAAGGTAAAACTCTACTGTCATATGATATGATGATACCTAGATCATTTTAAATAAGAAAAAAATAGAACGAAATAAACTTATCAAGATGTCAAAAGTGATTACCTTTGAGCAGTGGTGGTTCTTCGTATCTTTCTGTGTTCCTGTATGTATCAAGTTTTCTACTATGTGTATGGCCAATTTTTAATTTTATAGTAAAAAAAAAAACCTGAATTCTGACATTGAATTAATTAAAGTTTGGTAAAACACAGATGTCATATAGCATTAACGAAAGAAAGGGCAAATTAATGAGTGGACGCCAAGCTAAGCAAACAGAAAGGAAATGCCATGTGAAACTCGCAGCCTGGGGCCCAGGATAGCGATGACGTATGCGTTGTTTTCATCTATAAGGGAAGTGGTGAGCAAACTCCTTACCCACATCCTCTCTTTCTTTGCATCCCAGGAGCCTTCATTGTCTGCTGGCTGCCCTTCTTCCTGACTCACGTTCTTAATACTCACTGCCAGGCATGCCATGTATCCCCAGAGCTCTATAGAGCCACAACATGGCTAGGCTATGTGAACAGTGCCCTTAACCCTGTGATCTACACCACCTTCAATGTGGAGTTCCGCAAAGCCTTCCTCAAGATCCTGTCCTGCTGAAGGAAGAGAAGAGGCCACGCTCCCTTTACCCACTTCAAGATGCCAGGCAGTTTGGATCCCTGCCCACCAGGGTCTGCTTTGGATGCCTACACTGTGTTCTGGCATGTGTGATATGGAGACTCGTGAAGCAGGACAACCCTAGTTAGGAATAACCAACTGTTTGTTCCACGGTAGGATGGTCTACCTCCCCAGCTTACATCTGACTTCATTCTGCCAGTCTTCACATTGCTAAGTGCTAAGTAACAACTCAGAGAGAAGTTGATAAAAAGTGTATGGGACACACACAGAGAATTGTCACTGGAGACACATGCACTGGAGTGAAAGAAAAATGAACAGGTCTCTGCAGTCTCACCCTGCCAGGGGTCCTTGAAATCACAGCCAGGAAGCCATCTTGTAGACAGTCAGCTCCTCTTCTTTCAGGCCTGTAATTAACTGTCAGCACAGTTAACCATGAGCATCCATGGGGCCCAATTGCTTGTTTTCTTGCACTCTATCCTAAAACGTGAAAGACAAGGCCAATGTTTATACCTTTCTGTGGAATGGAATCAGCTGCATTTGGTGAGGGTCTGCTCACCCTGGAGCAGACACTGTCCCACATTGGGACTTGGGTTTTATTTCTACCCTTACATGTTAGCTCTGGCTGGGGGATGCAGGGGAGGCCCTTTGCTTTATTACCTGACTTTCTCAAGACAATTCTAGTGTTTTGATTTCCAGAACCATTCAAGACAAGACAGTTAAGTGAAGAAGGTAAGGTAGTTTCCTCTGCAGTGTCATGGCTGGCTTGGGTTGAGAACATGCCTTCCAGATGCTAGCCATCATTTGAAGGGTTTCCTAGCCAGGAACTTTCATCTACTTAACAGAAGCCCAAAACTTTCAGGCCTTGATATCCACCGAGTGCTCGGAAAGTGCTAGTCACCTCCCAGGTTCTGAATAGATAACAATGTCCTCAAAGACTTACGTTTGCCCATGTGGGTGGTAGTGGCTTGCCCGGACTTGCAAAGGGCCTCGGAACTGAAGGTATTGGAGAATGGCCGCTCCAAGTCATCACATGATAAATCTTCATAAAACCCTGGTCAGATCCTAAACAGCACCACTCTAACAACTGTGCTCAGAGCCTAACAAAAACTGGGTGTGGTGACTCAAGGAAAAAAAAAAACACCAGAAATAATCTGTAAATGTCATTCAAAATTGCATTTAGAAGGAGCTAGAACATGCACATCATTTACCTTCTCACCTACAGAAGCTATTTTTTTTATTGATTTCAGAATCAAAGTCAAATGTATGGATAATTTATGAAATGCTGTCAGCCTGCACTTCAATCAGTTTATCTTTAAGAGCATTGGTATATAGCATGACAGCTAGTGGCTAGCTTGCTGTTCAAACTTTAAAGAGTCCAAGACCTTCACAAGGAATCCAGGTCTCACCCACCCCATTCTTGCTCATCTGACCCTAATGGGTTAGTTGTCTGATAGTCCTGAACGCTTTGGTTCCAGCACTTACAAGTGTTATTATCTATAATGATTAGTATTGTAACACAGAGTGGAAACCCAAATCCTCTCCGCCCACTGCCTCTTCCATTTAGTGCCATAAAATATAACAGGCTTGCCAGGTGGTGGTGACGCCTTTAATCCCAGAGCTTGGAAGGCAGAGCCAGATCTCTGTGAGTTCAAGGCCAGCCTGGTCTACAGAGCGAGATCAAGGACAGGCACCAAAACAACACTGAGAAACCCTGTCCCATATATATATATATATGTGTGTGTGTGTGTGTGTGTGTGTGTGTGTGTGTGTGTGTGTGTGTGTATGTATATTTACAAGCAAAATTGAGTCCTGGACACTTAAATCCACAAAAGTAAAGGTTTATGATTTCTAGGCTTCCCCATTCAAAATAAATAAAAACAGATGAGCCTGTGGGGTAACATATTATAGAATTCTATGTAAAAACAATCAGAATCTAGAGGCAGAAATATAAGCATTGGTATCAATGCCTTTGTGAGGAAGGATGACAGCAGATAATTTTTCATTTCATTTCTTTTCATTTTATGCATATGAGCGTTTTGCCTGCTTGTATGTATGTGAACCACATGCATGCCTGATGTCTGCAGAGGTCAGAGAGGTCCTTGGATCACCTCGAACTGGAGCTGCCATGTTGGAACCAGGAACCACACCCAGGTCTTCAGGAAGAGGGACCAGTGCTCTTAATCCCCGAGCCATCCCTCCAGTCTCTTTGTATCTTTTCTTAGTATCAAGTAGCCAACCTTTATAACAACCTTGGTAAGATGACTTTATTTTATAGATGAAGACAGTGAGACAGAGGGAGGCTAAACACTTCCCTGCAGGCCAAACACTGTCAGTCAGTGCCAAGGGATTGACTGTGCATGCACCTGATCCCCATGCTGGCACATGGCTTCCTTCCAAAGTGGAGAGGTGGCCAAGATCCTAAAATGAACTTAACCCCACCCCGCCAACCATCTACTATATCTAAATAACTTTCCTACATTTTTAAATTATGCCTCAACTCCGACAGTGTTTGTCCATGCAGCTGTCTCAAAGCTGGATTTGGGGCTACTAAACACGATGAAGCCTATTTTTTTTAAAATAGACAACAAGCAGGTAAGCACTGTGCACATAAATTGTCTCCCAAGTGGACATAGAGCTTTTACCCAACTACCTAAACTTCCTGGAATCCAGTCTAAGATATTGGTCTCATTCTCCTGCCATGTTCAGATCTTAAGCAGTAACACAGGATATCCACAGTCTCTAGAGAGTGGTTGGTTCTGCATTCTCCTTCACCTACATAAAAGAGAACCAAGGCTTGGTACTGTGCCCCCCCACTCCCTCCACCATGGTTAATGAGAGACAGTTGTACTGAATCCTAGCTTGTTGTTCATTCCACTCTGCTACATTCCCCCCAGGACTTGTAAAAACTTTTAGCTCCGTATAGATACAATGTCAAGTTACATCTACCATTGAACTGCAACGCTCCTATTGGCTCCACAGTGTCAATTAGTCTGTACAACGTCTACTTCCCAGATTTTTTGGGTCTGGTCCAAGAAGAACTTTCCAGGGAAATCCCAAATACGCCTCTAAAATTCTCACTGCATCCTCTTCATCCTCAGAGTCTCCTGTCACCCCTTTCTTCCCCCCCCAGTTCCCACCAGGAGCCAGCGCCTTCAGTCACAGGGCTCATTATCTTCATTGCCAATATAACCACAAGTCTCAGAAGACATGTTGGACTGAATAAATCAGGGTATAGTTCTTGGGGAAACCTCTTCCAGACCCCAAAGAAATATCAAATTTTCCCTCACTGTTTGAGTAAACTGCAAATAACACAGAAATTTTAATATAGTCCAATCAATATTCAACTCACGGCCATAAGCAAACATTTCCCTCTTCCTTCACTACTTGTTTTCTTAAATCAGCCACTTATTCAATAAATACAAGTTTATCAGCTTCTTATGTGTCAGGCACTGTGCTGGGCACCGAGAAGCACTGTCCAGGAAGATGGGGTCCTTTCCCCACCCTCCTGAAGAAGCCCATAGTCAAGTAAGAAGGTGATCTATGTACATAACGCTTACCTGCTTGTTGTCTATTTGAAAACTATAGGATTCTAGGTGTTTAGTAGCTACAAATTCAATTTTGAGATGGCTTCCTGGACAAATACTATCAGAGTTGAGATGATTTTAAAATGTAGAAAAGGTGTTTCAGGGGGACTGGAGAGATGGCTCAATGGTTAAGAGCACTAGCTGTTCTTCCAGAGGTCCTGAGTTCAATTCCCAGTAACCACCTGGTGGCTCACAACCATCTGTAATGAGATCTGGCTCCCTCTTCTGGCCTGCAGGCATACACGCAGACAGAACACTGTATACATAATAAATAAATCTTTTTAAAAAAAAGAAGAAGAAAAGAAAAAGTGTTTCAGAAAGGTTAGTCCCCCAAAATGCTAAAATCAGAACAAGCAAAGACCATGGAAGCAAGCACAAATAACTACATCTGACTATATTAATGACACTGAAGGATGTTTCCATCCATCATTTCTCAAGATCTCTTGTAGCTCTGACTCAGGTGGCAGCCAAGCCAAGGGTACCTACCACTTGTCACATAATACATCCAGAATTTGGACCCAAGCCCCCCATGTGTGCTACACACACTGTGGAGTGTCCACCACCGACTTATGTACCTATTCTTTCCATGCTACCCTGGGTTTCAACAAGTACAGGCTTTAATCTGAGTTCTTTTATCCTCACTCTGAAGAAGACGGAATGCCTAGTTGAATGGATTTGATATTGGAAATGGTTACCATTAGGCAACTCGGAGACTTCGGATCAGAAAGCAAGGGAGGTCAGTCAAAGAGATTTGTTTTTTGTGAATGCTTGGGTCAGAAACACACAGGGAGGCAGAGAGGTCAAGAGTACCATTTACAAATGGTTATTTCCTGGAGATCCTGGCTCCTAGGTCTGTGCTTTTCATTTGGTATCCGCTGACATTAGACGGCTGGAAAGGCTTCATTCGAATCAATACACAGAGAGCAAAGAAGAGACGACAGGCAATTAACCCGATTCCTCCATTCTGCCTAATTGTCTACTCATCAGCTGAGGAAGCAAGTGAGTTGCCATGACTACCTCCTGACACAAAGACTCAGTGCAGGTGACGCCATTGTCAGCTCATCTCTGTGGCACATGTTGGCAGAGGCAGAACCTGAGAGTCCAGGCCAAGTACACGACCTGGGACCACTCGCTTCCTCAGCCCTCACCTCAATTAATCATCTGTCTCCACCACTGTGCGATGAGTTCCCGCTTTGTGTAGAGTCTGGTCTCTGGGAGGAGAAGCTGCAGACTTCTAAGGATGTCCAGACCCTCAGGTGGAAGCAGGGATGACTCCATGTTGGCTCTGACCCTCTTTATGGGAAACAAGGTGTTCAGACATGAGTCAGGGCCTTGAAGTTCTAATGCTAGCGTGGACAAGTGGCTTTAGGCACTCTAAGCTTCAGTTTACTCATGAGAAAAAATGGAGACCTAAAATCCTAGTCTTTTTTAATGAGGCCATTTGAAGATTAGATAAAATCACCAGCTAGTGGATCTCTTTGTCTGTTCCTGTTGCTATAGCAAAAGACTGCAGAGTGGATCATTTACAAGTGATAGAAATTTATTCTCCCACAGTTCTTAAGGTTGAAATATCTAAGATCAAGGCACCAGCACATTTGTTGTCTGGGTGGGCTCAATGTCTGTGTCTAAGACAGTGTCTTCTTGTGTCATCCTACTAAAGGGACAAATGCTGTGTCCTTACACTGCAAAGGTGTGGTGGGAGAAAGGCCACTCTGGTTCCCTCTGGCCCTTTTGTAAGATATTAATTCCATTTGTAAAGGCAGAGCCCTCATGGCCTAGTTACCTTTTGAAGACCTTACTACTGCTGTATTAGCAGTTACATCTCAGCATGGATTTTTGCAGGAGACACAAATGGTCCAACAGTAGCAGAAAGGCTTCACCAACTCTAAAGCCCTAACAAATGCAAAAAAGGTCACTCTTATCCTTGGTTTTGTTATTGCTGTTTGCTCCTCACCTGTCACACCTACCTGACTCGTCTCCTATCCAGACGATAGGAGTTTGGAAAGAGTATGCCAAATAACTTGATGGAAACTGGCATATTCTTTCCAACCTCACCTGACCACCACCACACGAGCTGATTTTTTTCTTGCCTTTTATTCCCTTAACAGACCAGGATACCTGGCTGTCTTAGTAGTCTGACTGCTGGACAAATGTGCAGCACCTAACAGGGCCCTTTTCCTGCTCAGACAGCCACCTGCTCAATTAGGTTGTGACCTAACACCCAAGTTGATGATGTCAGAAACTTACTTGCTGAAGTCTGCTTTGTGTCCTCCCCCACCAAAAAGTTCCTCTTCTAATCATCAGATGAGGAGCAGACACATCTATTCCTCAAAACTACCTGGCTTTGTCTCTCATGATATCCAATTCTGTCAACCCATCTTTCTCACTCCAACTCTTCTGGCTGGCAGAAGTGCCCTGGTTAGGGAACTAATGTTCAGGGCTTTGTAACAAGGGATCCACATGCGAGGCAATTTAAAACAGTAACAACTATATTCACTCATGGTTCTAAAGGCCAGAAGTATGAAGTCAAGGCACTTGTAGGGTCGTGCTTTCCCTGAGTGCTCCAGGGAAAGAGCTTCCTTCACTTCTTCCCTGTCTTTAGTGGTTACTGGCAATCCCCTCAACTTCTCCTTAGCCATTGGCAACATAACTCCAGTTTCCATCAGCAACTTCTTGTGGTGTTGTGTCTGGGACTAAATTTCCCTTTTATAAATCATTGGATTAGGGCTGCCTTCACCAAATATTACCTTATCTTAACTTGGTTACATCTGCAAAGACTCTATTTCAAAATTAAATCATTTATAGGTCCCAGGGTTTAGGGCTTTAGCTGTTTGTTTGTTTGTTTGTTTGTTTGTTTTGTCTTGTTTTTTGGTGTGTGTGTGTGTGTGTGTGTGTGTGTGTGTGTGTGTAATACAATTCAACCCATAAAATATGATGAGAGTGGTCGGGAAGGAAGAAGATTTGGGATGTTGATAAATTTGGATATAAGTATGAAAGTCCTATCATCCACAATATGAAAGGTTGGATTTCATCCCTGGCACACAATCCCTTCATGGTCTGGGTCAACTCTGTAAACTCCCTGGAGTTCCACTTTATTTTTAGTAAAAGTGTCTAGCCTGAATTCCTAAGGCTATGCTAATACATGCTAAAGCTATTTGTAGCAAGATATAAATTATCTGCTGAGCCCTTAAAACTTGTAAACATGCTTATTAATAAAAGTCAGAGCTAATTCAAAATCAACCATTTGCTTCTTTGTGTCTTAAAAGGTGGAACTGAACAATCAACTCATTGTAGGTGGGGATGATACATGAAAATATCCTGTATATATCCTGTGCCATGCCATGTCACTCTAGACAGACTGAAAGTGGTGGAGGATTTTTTTCCCTTTAAGAAACACTGACAACACTGAATCTTGCATTACAGTTGAGCAGATTCTATACATCTCCATAGTAAGTCCCTTAAAAAGCTTATAATTTATCATAATCTATAATCATGAGATTTGAGAATTGAAAAGGACTGTATTCCAGTTCTTAGTGTAGAAATCCTCTCTTGAACATTGCTGATCCATCATCATCCATCTTTATTAAGGAGCTGGCTCATTACTTCCCAAGACATGTGACAAGTTATCCTTTTAAAAAATTCCTGCCAGGTCTGGAGAGATGGCTTGACAGATAAGCACGCTTGCTGCATTTGCAAAGGACCAGAGTTTGATTCTCAGCACAGAGGCTCATCACCATCTGTAACTCTAGTTCCCGGGGATCTGACACCCTCTTCTGACCTCCACAGACACCAGGCATACAAGCTGTGCACAGACATACATGCAGGGGAAACATCCAAACACATAAAATAAAATGATACCCTTTTTTATTCATAAATAAAATTTAAAAAATCCTGATATCATTCAGCCAAAATCTACCTCTTTCAAAACTAGTCTTTAGGTTCATCTTCCATATGTGAGATTAAGACAGTCCTCAAAGTTTCAATTCCTCTGTCTCTAATTCAAGAAGCATTCTCTTGCACTACCTATCTTGGTTGATTTCCTCTGAATATAGCCATTTCATTAGTTGCTCTTAAACTACAAGACCTCAGTAGGTTATGACCCTTTAAATGTTGTTGAATCAGCTCAGAGTGCCATAGATTCATTATTTCCCATGATTGGAATATTCAATTTTTAATGACCCAACTCAAATTGCATTGACTTTGTAGGGCTCAGATTGAAATTCTAAAGAGGAAATTTGCATAGAGAATGGAGATGTTTAATGGGCTATGACTTGGGGATCAACACATCCCAGGAGGATGGGGGAAGCAGGGGTAGGTGCAGAGAGTGTGAGGGAGCAGCACAAAGAAGAGTCCCACGGACCCACAAAGTAGGTAGACCATTTTGATCCCAGCCAGTCACTGGATGAGAACTACCTCTAGGGAGGAGGCATGATTTAGGCAAAGGCTCACTTATGTTGAAAGCTTTTATTCCATTCTTAACAAATAGTAGACTAGGGCTGGAGAGATGGTTCAGTGGTTAAGAGCACTGAGTGCTCTTCTGGAGGTCCTGAGTTCAATTCCCAGTGACCACATAGTGACTAACAATAACTAGTGGACTAAATCCCTGAATGAGCTCGAGGACGCACATGCCAGCATCTACCACAATCTACCCTTTGTGGCACTTTTTTTCATGTAATAGACTCTAGAAACGACATCAGGAATCTAGTTGGTGTCTCTTCTTATGGAAGTTTAGTAGGATGGCCTATAATCTCTAGCTGGTCTCAAAGTAATTTTCATCTTTTCAATATGAGGGGATAAAATATTGGTCCATGGTATAATATGGATGAACACATTACACTAATGCAAGAAGCCAGATACATAAATCACATCTTTTATGATTTTATTCTTATGAAATATTCAGAATAGATAAATTCACAGAGAGAAAAAGAAGATTGTTTATTTCCAAGAATGGAAAGAAAGGAGAATGGGGGCTACCTGCTTGATGGGTGCCTGGTTTTCTCCTGTGATAATGAAAACAGAACCGCATAAATGGAGTGGTTGCACAATATTGTAAGTTACTAAATGTCATTGAATTATTCACTTTAAAATGACTAATTTTATATCAATTAAAACTTTTAATTATGAAAAATTAACAAATTAGTTAGAAGGATGGGGACCTCTAATATGTC